TGTGCCCTTGACTGGAATGGAACCTGGGACTCTTCAGTCCGCAGGCCCACGCTGTATCCACGGAGCCACACCGGCCAGGGCCCTATTGATGTTTATTTGCAGCAAGTGTTGTCCCAGTTTGCTAGGTGGTGAGCGGCAGAGTAACGAATCCGAGAGCAAGGGCCGTGCCGAGGGGCAGACCTGGGCTGTGTCCCTGCTCTGCCCTCTGGGCCGAGTGCCCGGTGTTCCTTCCCCCCACGCCCAGCTCCTGGCGTGCACAGGGGGACAGAGGCCCCAGCGCTGCACAGGGTGTCCGGATCAGTGGCCTAATGTCTGATTGCGTCCCGTCTCCGAGTCGCTGGGCCTGAGTCATGCGTGTGGTCGTGCGGGGAGCAGGCAGCGACGCTGTGGGACAGACGTCCTCGGAGGGCCCTGCTGTTGTCGTCCTAACCGTTCTCAGATGCCAGGCCGTCACTCTCGTCAGGATGCTCTAGTTGCCTTGGTGAGGCGGCTGGGCCAGGACATGTGGGAGGCTCTGGATTGTTCTAGAGGCTCCATATTACATGCTGGGCCGTGGGACCGAACATTCCAGAACGAAGGAAGGCACAGTGTCTCAGGTCTGTGGGCCTGTGAGCACCACCCTCCCCTGCGGTGGGCGCCGTGTGGCCACGCTGTGTAATCAGGCATTTCCCAGACTCTAAAGGAAATGGAGTCTGCACCCCGTGGACCTCACCACGCTGGGCATGCAGGCGGGGGGCACCGCTGGGAGATCAGGTGGGAGGGGCTGGGGAGCAGGGGCCACGTGGGCCACGTCCCACAGAGAACACGAAGCAGCCGAGGCCATGGCTGAGAGCCTAGCGTGTAGATGGCGTGTGTAAGCTTGTGGCAGGCTGAGGCGGGGGGAGAAAAGCCCTGTCACTCAGCGCCTTGGGCTCAGGTGTTGGGCCCTCGCTGCCTCAGGTCAGACCCCGTCTGATCTCCCACCATTCTCTCAGCGTGGCTGCCGGGGGCTCATCCATGACAGTGGACAGTAGCTCCCCATCACCCTCTGAGGGTCACTGACTTGGCTGCTGCCCCCCCAAACACTTCTCAAGCAGGGGTGACCAGAAGGACCTTTAAAGAAACCACGTTTGTACTGGTTTCCGAGAGGAAGGGAGGGAGAGAGAGAGAACCATCGGTGATGAGAGGGAATCATTGATCGGGGCCTCCCGCAGGCCCCCTGCTGGGGATGGAGCGGCAGACACATCCATTCAGTGGAAATTGTATGCATTTTCTGGCCGAACACGGAGAAAGCGGAACAGTTAATTCAGTTTCCAGCTTTTTAAGTTTCCATAGTCTGATGGGCAAGGCACCTCTTTCCAAATCCGTGCTTTTCAGGGAAACTCTCCTAAGACTTCCTTTGGCCTTTGTTTATCCCAGCGACCTCCGTGACCCCGGCAGCCCTGCCCACGGAGGAACGTGTTTGGAAACGGGGGTGAACGTCAATACGTAAACCCCACCGTTTTGGCTACTTTAACGCACACATTTCTGGGGCTCCTGGACGTTTGCAGGGGGCGCAGCCACGACGCTGTGTGGTTCCGGCCATGCTCAGCACCCAGCAGGGAGCCCTGCGCCCTGATCAGTCCCCCCCATTTCACCTCCTGTGCTTCCTGTCTCCATGGATTCGCCATAGGAATGTGTGTCTTTAGAAATCCTTTAAATTCTGCATCTAGTCCCCAATTAGAAACTGTAGATTACTGAGTACGTGTGTGTGTGTGTGTGTGTGTGTGTGTGTGTGTGTGTTTGAAAAAGAGAGGGAGGGAGGGAGAGAGAGAGAGAGAGAGAGAGAGAGAGAGAGGAGAGGGGGCGTGGGCGGGAGGAGTCAGAGTCAGCATTCACGAGAAATCTCTTGGAAATATCCCAAGTGGAAACGGGGGAGATGCTCCTTTCCCAGTCAGAGGCCTGTAGGTTAAGCTGGGCGTCTGAGCTTACATTTCCCGAGGCCGGTCAGTCCTCGGAGACGGGAATGACCTTCCTGAAAGGTGCCCGTCACGCTGAGAAAGGCCTGAGCGGCGACGTGGCTTCCCAGAGCCCGGGCCACCAGAGAGTTTCGTGTTCACGCCCCAGAGGCCTGCCCGGACCAGCTCCGCCTGCGGCCGGCGATCGGCGAGGACAGCGTGGCTCCGGAGCCGTGTCCGGTGACCATGCGCACCTGCCTTCTCCCAGCGAGCACATCCCTCAGCGCAGAGGCCCAGGAGGCCTGCCCGGTGGGTGAATAAATACAATAACGGCCCCTTGTGTTGGCCACGCAGACACACTCACCTGTTTCCGAGTGGCGTGCACATTTTATTCTGGCCGGTTTTTACAGCCTTAGTTAACCTGGTCACCAACTTAAACACCTTGGGGACGACCTGGGCAGTGGACTTTGGCGCCTGTTCTTTGTGAGAGGATTTAAAACGTGTACGTTCTTGGTCCTGATTACATACAGGAAAGGTGTGCTCTCTGACTTCCGGGGGAATGCCCAAGGCTCTGAGAGAAATCTGAATGTCCAGCCGGTCAGGGGCTCCGGGAGGAATGGCCGTGGGGCTTGTGGTGTGGGCGGTGCTCCGTGATCGCAGACGCTGGGAGGTCACGGTCACGGTGCGTGCTGCACGTGTCCTGAGGGTTTTTATTACATTTTCACTCCTCATTCCTTATGTTCCCTGCGCCCCAGCTAACCCGTCGGCCTGTTCCCAGTGACGCTCAGAACCCTGCCAGAGCTCACACCCTGGCTGGCTGTGAGGCTGTCTTCATCCCAGAGTCCCTGGGTCTCTCCTGCAGGCCTCTGTGCCCGTCTGACCTCCCACCTCTCTCCGCGTGGCTGCCGGGGGCTCCTCCATGACAGTGGACAGCAGCTCCCCCTCACCCTCTGGGGGTCACTGACTTGGTTGCTCCCACAAACATGAGCAGGGGTGACCAGAAGTATCTTCAAGGAAACTATGTTTGTATTGATTTCCAAGAGGAAGGGAGAAGGGGAGATAAAAACATCAACAAGAGAGAAACATCATCCATCTGCTGCCTCCCGCACGCCCCACAACGGGGATGGAGCCTGCCACCCGGGGCCTGTGCCCGGGAAGTGAACTGTGACCTCCTGGTTCCTAGGTCTGAGCCACACCAGCTGGGCCAGAATAAACTTAAAAACCAGCCGAACCTCCTTCACGGCACCTGGAGTCGCACCTGGAGTCGGCAGGGCAGCCGCACAGGGCTGCGGGTGGCCGGCAGCTGAGGGCGCTGCCAGGTGTGCAAACACAGGGCCGTGCTCCGTGGGGACCGTCAGCAGCCCCTCGGGGACAGGGGCAGCTGGAGCCCGTCCCTCAGCGAGGGGCCTCGGCCCTCCCAGCCCCTGGAGGGGAGAGGCGGGTGAGGGCTGTGGGAAGACGGGAGCGTTGGGAAGGGAGAGAGCGGTTGACAGCAGGAGCAAACTGCACGCCTATCTCTGCCCTCCAGACCGCGGGCCAACCGACCCCCCTGCGCCCCGCCCGCCGCCGCCTGATGGGCCTGATACGGGGCGGGGAGCAGCGCCAGGGGCACAGTCCGCCTGGGCCCACGGGGGACCCCGGCCGCCGTGTCCATGTGCAGGGCCCGCGCCCCGGATCCCGCCAATGCCACGGGTAAGGCCCCGGGCCGGAGCGAAGGGGGGCTGGGACCCCGGGACGGGGGAGGGGAGGAGGAAGGACTGTGGTTTCTCCAGAGGCCACCTGCCCCCGGGAGCCTCCGAGTGGCTCCATCCGACCGGCCAGGCCGGGAATAACTGGGATAACCGGTGTGCCCGGTCCCTCAGGCCTGGGGGTGTGCTGGGAGGGAGGCTGGGAGACGATGGAGAAGGGAGGGAGGGAGGCAGGGGAAGGGAGAAGCCCGGGCTGCTTTCCCAGCTGCAGCCTGGAGGCTGCGGAGACCCGGGTTCTGGGCTGGACTCGCCGGCCCGGCCGCTGCTCCCCGCCGAGGCCGGACCCGCGCCCCTTCCTGCCTTTGATCCGGTCCCGGAGGGAACCGCTGCGCCGTCCGGCCGGCAGACAGGCGGCCGGGAAGCGGAGAGGGCCTGGGCACACCCCTAGTGAGGACGGTTTTCATGAAAACAAACAAACAAATAAGAAGCTCCGCTCCCAGGCTGGGCTTCAGCGCTGCCTCCGAGCCCGGCCCCTGCGCCCTCCCGATGCCACCCCTGCGCCCTCCGGACCCCTGCGCCCTCCCGGCCCCTGCGCCCTCCCGATGCCACCCCTGCGCCCTCCGGACCCCTGCGCCCTCCCGGCCCCTGCGCCCTCCCGATGCCACCCCTGCGCCCTCCGGACCCTTGCGCCCTCCCGATGCCACCCCTGCGCCCCCCGACCCTGCGCCCCCTGGACCCCTGCGCCCTCCCGATGCCACCCCAATGCCCTCCCGGCCCCTGTGCCTCCCAGATGCCACCCCTGTGCCTTCCGGGCCCCTGCGCCCCCCGGACCCTGCGCCTCCCAGATGCCACCCCTGAGCCCCCCGGACCCTGCGCCCTCCCGATGCCCCAGCCGCCCGGAGCCGCCGGGAGCCCCGCGGCCGCCGCCGTGCGCAGCCGGAGGGGGAGGCGGCGGCGGGGAGCGGGCGGGAGGCGGGACGCGGTCCGGCGGCGGCGCCGGGCGGGGAGGGGAGGAGGGCAGGGAGGGGAGGGAGGGGAGGAGGGGAGGAGGGGAGGGAGGAGGGAGGGAGGGAAGGCGGCCGCTCGCCCCGCCCCGGGGCTATAAGGCCGGGCGGCGGCGGGCGGCGGCGGCGCGCGGGGCAGCGATCGGCGGCTCCGCGCTCGGGCGGCGGCGGCTGCGCCCATAAGGCTTCGCCTTCCGACTTCAGCTACAGTGATAGCTAAGTCAGGAGGGGACCCCCCGCCCGGCCCGCCGCCGTCCTCCCCCTCCTCCTCCGGCTCCGGCTCCGGCTCCGGCTCCGCCGCAGGCACCCCCGCCGCCGGGCACCGCTCCGCCGGCTCCGCACCCGCCGCCCGCACCTGCGCCTGCACCTGCGCCTGCACCGCGGGCACAGCCATGGCCGGGCCGCGCCAGCAGGACCGCCGGCCGGGATGCTGCGGTGAGTGGCGGCAGGTGCGGGGCGCCGGGCGCTGGGGACCCGCAGCTGTGGCCCCCTGGGTGGGCGGAAGAGACACGGTGCCCGGGCGCGGGAGAGCGGCCCGGGCAGGGGATCCCGGTGGAGACCGGAGCCCAGGAATGTTGGCGCGCGCTCCCCGCTGCAGGCGGAGGCGGGCAGCACGGGCCGAGGTCCTGCCACGGTGAAGGGAGGGTTGGCCTGGCAACATGTGGTGGTTTACACCCCCCCCCCCCACCGGTCTCCATAGCCGTGGACACACATTCCCGCCCCGTCCTACTGCAGGGACCGATTCTGCTTTTGATCTCCCGCCCCCGTGTGCCTTTGCAGGGTCCGTAGCCAGCTACCTGACCTCGGCGAAATTCCTGCTCTACGTGGGACACTTTCTGTCCACTTGGGTAAGTGGCCCAGCCGCCCTCTTGCCACACACACTTGCACAATGACTGTTTCCTCTGGGGCAGCTGTGTGAAGCCATCCTGCCGTGTGTCCTGAGCGAAAGACATGCATGATCCTAACACAGGCTTTTCTGACTTAATGTAGCAGAGGGCAGGATTAACTGGACCGGTAATGTGTGGTTTGTAAATGCCCCCTCCCCCCCCCCCCCATTATTAGGCTTAGTAAGTGGCAGTATCTGCCGCTAAGAATCATGGCTGCCTTCGATACCTCTTTTTCCTTCAAGTTCTATTTTTAAATTTTCTTTTGTTAAATTTGTGTTTCGGCATACCGCGCTGTGAAGCTCCAGGGGGATAGGGCAGGACTGGCCTAGGCTAACAATGGCACCCTGAGGTGAATGTAAGGAAACGGACCCACACACATGCCTGGGTGACGGACGCCCTGGTCCATAAAGCTGTGACCGTGGGCAGGGGTGGTGGGCGCCGCAGGCTGCCTGGAAGCCACCGGGCCCTGAACACCGTCACCTGCTCAGATTTCTCCTCCGCCTGCCCCTGTGGTCTTGGAAGGGCCCCTGTGTTTCTGTGGGCCTGGGTTCTGCCGCCAAACCCCCCTCCTCCCAGGAAAGACTGACCCCAAAAGGTGTTGGATGTGTTTCTAACTCATGATGATGGGACTCGTTAAAATTAAACAAATTGTTCTTCTTGTGTAGAAGCACCGAGCCTGAGTATTTCTATTCACACCTCCCGTGTGTTTGATTGAGAAGAACCGTAGTAAGGAGAGAGAATTTCAGAGAACATTTGGTGACGGTTGCTTTCCTTTTACACTGGAAACTTCTGACAAATCACCCCGAAGACAGGAGCACACTATCGCAGGAGGAAATCTGTGCCCCGGGCCCTCGGGGAACTCTCAGCCGGGTTATCAGCTCCTGAAGAGACAGCCCTCAGAGGCGGCCTCTGCAGGAGGCAGACTCCTGTGTCCCCCCCCCCCCCCCAGACTGGCCCCGCAGGCCGTGAGCACAGAGGAGTCAGGAGGGGTCCCCGGCCCAGACCGGCCCCGCAGGCCGTGAGCACAGAGGAGTCTGCTCCACAGCTGGCGGCTCTGGGAGGGAAGGTAGTGAAAGTCTCTCCCTCAGTCTGACTCCGCGGTTTGGCTCCAGCTGTTTGACTCAGCAAGTATTAAATATTAACAAAACAAAACAAAGACTACCCAGTGCTGGAGGGAGGATCTGCAGCTCTCACCTTGTGGTCTGGGCTGTTATGAGGGCAGCGACGTGCTCACCCGGACACCGACAGGCCAGGGGTTACAGGACCTTCTGCTCGCAGGTGGGAGGTCAGATTTGCCAGGAGTGGGGCTGCTGGGGCCCAGTGTCCATCCCACAGCAGAGCGGCAAGCTTAGAGCATTTCATAAGTGAGTTGAGCAAAGAGAGTGCTTGTGGGAAAATTGTCTTTAAAGCAACCCCCCTCAAAAGAAAAAAACAAAACAAAACAAAAAACACCAAAATCCTGCAGCTACAATCATATCATGTTGAGAGGATTTTCTCTGCTTTCAGTGCAGAGGAAGCGCATGATTCTACCTTTTGAGTTTTGTGTCCTCCTCGACATTCCGCCTGATTTTATTACAACTAAGTATGTGTGCCAATGCACCTACATCTGGCTATCTCCCTGCCAACCCTGCCAAGCCGTGGCTTCCTGCGCACGGAGCACAGAGGCGCTACCGTAGACTGTTATCCGAGCTTAGACGTGTGCGGGGTTGAAGGCTTTTATTCCTGACTTCATTTCTGTCTGCCAGGGGAGCCATCCGTCTTCCTCTGGACACTATGTCTCGTACAAAGCAGGGTGAGAAGTGGACTCCCGCAGGGAGCTTTCCGTGTAGGTTAGCGTGGGCTTTGGCGATGATAGCTAATCACAGAGAGAGAACCCCGAGTGGAAGGGGGGCCAGTTGCTTCTAAGTCACCATCCTATGGCCTGTCTCCCGTTATTCCCCAGATGTCTGCGTGGCCCAGCTCTCTCTCCCTCCCTCCCTCCATCCCTCCCTCCCTCCCTCCCTCCCTCCCTCCCTCCCTCCCGGTCCCTGCTCATAGAGGTCTCTGCTGCTGCCTCATGCGAAAAGCCACCTTCCAACCCCATCCTGCTTTTACTTTTTGTCACGCATTTACACTTGACCTCTCCGAGATGTATTTTTGTCTTTGTGCTCTGGGATGCAAGTGCGTGAAGCCACGGACCTTGATTTTGGTGCCTTTGAGTCTCTGGTGCCTCCGTAGTCCCCTCCACGAGAGAGGAGCTCACTGAGGAAGGACGGTGACTGCTCACACCCCGATAGTCATGGGTCTTCAGCTCCGACTCCATTGGGAGCAGATGGACTTGCCAGCAAATCATCCAAGTATGGCCAGCGCTTATGGGAAGGCAGGGAGTGGACGTAAGGAAGGCATGGGTGGGCTTGCAGTTGTGCTTGGTCAACACTTACTTAAGAGCTTACCCGATGTGGAGGCTCTGTGAGCATCAAGCTGCTGCTGCTTAAAACAAAAAGGCTTTGGAAATGGGGTTAACTGGAGCAGTTTTTATTCCCCTCTACCAAGGAAGGGCCATGCCGTAAAGGGACAAGCAAGAGAGAAAATTGCCTCTTAATAGCACTTGTCTGGGTCCTCTGGAGGAATCTAAAGCAAATTCAGTTGGAAAAAAGATAGTGGTAGAATAATATTTCTTACTCTTACGGTTAGAAAGAGGAAATCCTCTTGTGAAGGCAACCTATCATTTGGTGCATTTATGTGCTTTGGCCTTTTCCTTGGGAGCACTTCAGAGGAAGGGAGGTCAGAGTCAAGCACCTCCTCTCTCCAACCCCGTAAGAATTTAGCCTGGAAATGTTTCCTGCAGTGATTTCCAGGGACAGGTTACCATAGAGCAGTGTTGTCCTGATTTATGTTAACCTGTTAGGAATGGAGCCCAAACTGTAACAAGGTCCTTTATAGATTTCTTATGCATTAATTTATCTGAATCATTGAAAAGTTTGTCATGCCACATTTTGCAGTGGTGAATCCCCAAATTCCTGTATACTCTGGAATCCTATATAATAAAAGGCTAATATGCAAATAGACCAAACAGCGGAACAACCGGTTGCTATGACACACACTGACCACCAGGGGGCGGATACTCAATGCAGAGCTGTCCCCTGGTGGTCAGTGCACTCCCACGGGGCAGGGGCGCCGCTCTGCCAGAAACCGGGTTCATGGCTGCGAACGCAGCAGTGCTGGCGGAGCCTCTGCCTCTGCAGCAGCACTGAGGGTGTCTGACTGACCAGGAGCGGGCCCAAGCCATCAGTCAGACATCCCCTAAGGGCTCCTGACTGCAAGAGGGCACAGGCTGGGCTGAGGGGCCACCACCCTGCCCCCCGGGTGCACGAATTTCAAGTACCAGGCCTCTCATGAAGAAATAAGTAGTTTCTTTTTTTTCTTTCTTTCTTTCTTTCTTTATTTAATATTTTATTGGCTTTGTACAGAAAGGGAGAGAGATAGAGAGTGAGAAACATCGATGAGAGAGTCATCGATCAGCTGCCTCCTGCACACCCCCTACTGGGGATATGCCCGCAACCAAGGTACATGCCCTCGACCGGAATCGAACCCGGGACCCTTCAGTCCCCAAGCCAACGCTCTATCCATTGAGCCAAACTGGTTTCGGCAGAAATAAGTAGTTTCTTTCTCTTTTCAAAACCCATCTTAGTTAAAATGTAAAAATGGCTGCTTGCTATGCATTTATCTCTGGTGCCGTCTTTCGTGCGGTGCCAGAATTGGCCCAAACTAATTCCACCTTTCTGATTGCCCCGCTGTTTTGCGACTTTGAGATTTGCCTGTGAGATGGAGCATCAGTTTTATTAGAACATTAGCGGTACAAAAGGCTTAGAGATAGTTCCTTCCGGTCACTTTACAGATTAGGAACGTGGTCGGTTTTTTGGCGTTCAAGGCATGCTGCTGTCCGTCAGCTCTGCTATAGGCTCATTCTGACTCAGGGGGAGCAACCCCGGGACAGGCCATTCCAGGCTCAGAGCCTGACACCCTAGGAATCAGCTTTTGTCTTCAAACACCTCCTTAGGCCTGGAAACTTCTCTTTCTAGAATGCAAAGGGTCACATGTATTTCACGTGTATTTCAGTAGCATGTTCTTTCCGGTTCACGTGGTTCTCGGGCAAGAGCAGCTCCACGGTGCCATGATGGACAGCCTTGACCCGTGGCCGGTCCTCCATCCCCAGAGGACTGACCTTGAAGACGCCCTGAGGTCGCCAGAGCGTGCCCTCAGAGGAGGCAGCGACTTCCCGAGAATAAGCGCCGGAGCCGAGCCGTGCGGCCACACGTTGTCTCTGTTCCAGGGGGACCGGATGTGGCACTTCGCGGTGTCCGTGTTCCTGGTGGAGCTGTACGGGAACAGCCTGCTCCTGACGGCCGTCTACGGGCTGGTGGTGGCCGGCTCCGTGCTGGTCCTCGGAGCCATCATCGGCGACTGGGTGGATAAGAACGCCAGGCTCAAAGGTGAGTGGCCGGCCGCGGGGCTCAGGGGCTGAGGGTGCGCCCATGAACCAGGCAGAAGGTCACGGTTCCATTCCCCGTCAGGGCCCGGGCCTGGGTTGTGGTCTGGGTCCCCAGTAGGGGGCGTGCAGGAGGCAGCCGATCAGTGATTCTCTCTTATCACTGGTCTCTCTCTCTCTCTCTCTCTCTCTCTCTTACTTCCCTCCTCCCTCCCTCTCCTTCCTCTCTCTGAAATAAATAAAAACACATAAAAAATAATAATAAAGGTGAGTGTTGTCACAGCCATGCCTCTGTATTCACGGGCCAGCATCTGAGCTGCAGGGAAGCCCCTTGGCGGTGCTGTGCGCCCGCTGAGTGCTGGGGGAGTGGGGGCGGGGAGGGCTGGGCAGCACCTCCCCCGGGCGGCTCTGGGCCCCTGCACAAGGCCAGGGCGACAGACACTGAGCCCATCGGTGGGGGCGTATCTGGCTGTTCAGACACCCACAGGCAATGATTAACCGCAGGCTTTTCCGAGAACCGCGTTAAACATTGGACGTTTGCTCTGGGTCCTTTCTCCCCGCACTCACACTGGAGCCTCTTCAGCCTGCGGCTCCCGGGCAGCGCCAGCCCCTGTCCCCTGGCCACTGTGTTTCCGCAGACGGGTGTGTGCAGGGGACTGAAAACTGCAGATTCAGGAGAGAACGTCGGAGCCTGGATCTCGGAGAGCCGAGTCATACATGTGCTAGGGACAGGAAGAGCGAGAACGTTCACGCTTCCTCCAGGGCAGTCAGACTGAACCCCCAGTCTCCGTAGGACGGGGAGAGCGGGAGGGAGCGTTGCCCCTGAGTGAGTGCTCCACTGGGAGCACCGCAGCCTGGCCGGGCTCTGGGAAGGGCTGGGCGGCCATTTGTTCCCTCGCTCACATCCAGGGGCCTTTTAGGAAAATGGTCAGGATGCACCTTTCCTGAGGTGAGGCTCAATAGACGCAAACGCCGGTGGAAACGTGTTTTCTGTCCCAGGAAAACCTCCTTCCATCGTTGTCCACGGGACAGAGAAATGCACCCGGGGGTGTTTACCTCCCCAGGGCAGAGGGGCGAGTGGGGGCAGCGTGGGCCAGCAGGGACCCGGCTCACGGGCCCCTCCCTGAGGTCCCCTCTGGTCTCCAGGCTGAGTCACCCTTCTCCATCAGCCTCAGCTCACGCCCCTGCCGTTCCGCCCCTGGTGGCTACCTGGTCACTGTCCGTCCTCCCTGTAGCCGGGGGTCCTGGGACTATGGGCCTCGTCCAGTTGCTGTTCGATCCTGTGCAATGCGTGGCTGCACCCGGGGAGGAGTTAGACGTGGGTTTGCCTCAGGCTGATTCACACGGTGGTCTGTTGTCTGGGGCTGTGACGGGCCTCCCAGGCCAGCGGGAGCGTGGCCGTGCGCGCCGAGGGCGCTGTGATGAGGCAGCGGCCTGGTGCCCGGCTGCCGGAGCGGTTATTGGCGCGTCGGCCTCCGCAGGAGGGAGGCGGGCTGCTGGCCGCGCCTCCCCACGCGGCGTCAGGGACTCGGTGTCCCGCCTGGGCCTCTGCCGGGAGGGGGGGCGCCAGGTGCCCTCCCGGCGTCACCTGTCCTCTGCCAGCTTCACCGACAGGATGGCGGCCTCCGCCGTGGGAGAGCCGGTGTGTCGGGGGGGGGGGGGGGGGGAGGTGTAGCGTAGACATCGCAACAGGGACGGCCCGTCCTCGATGCCACAGGAAACACGCCTGCCTCCCCCCACACACTCTTGCACACCTCTGCTGTGTGGCCGCACTTTTTTAAAAAAACAAAACAATATATCTTACTGACTTTTCACAGAGAGGAAGGGAGAGGGATAGAGAGTCAGAAACATCGATGAGAAACATCCATCAGCTGCCTCCTGGACACCTCGCACAGGGGATGTGCCTGCACCCAAGGTCCATGCCCTTGATCAGAATCCCACCTGGGACCCTTGAGTCCGCAGGCCGACGCTCTGTCCACTGAGCCACGCTGGTCAGGGCCGCACTCTGTGTCTTACCGATTGGCCTGCGTGGGGGCCCCTGCAGATCCATGACCTCCTCCTCTCACCACTCCCACCCGCCCCCCGTGACCTCCTCCTCCTCCTCCTCACTCCCCCCTCCGTGACCTCCTCCTCCTCCTCACCACTCCCCCCTGTGACCTCCTCCTCCTCACCCTCATTCCTCCCTGTGACCTCCTCCTCCTCCTCACTCCCCCCTGTGACCTCCTCCTCCTCCTCACTCCCCCCTGTGACCTCCTCCTCACCACTCCCCCCTGTGACCTCCTCCTCACCACTCCCCCCTGTGACCTCCTCCTCCTCCTCACTCCCCCCTGTGACCTCCTCCTCACCACTCCCCCCTGTGACCTCCTCCTCCTCCTCACCACTCCCCCCAGTGACCTCCTCCTCCTCCTCCTCACTCCCCCCCCATGACCTCCTCCTCCTCCTCACCACTCCCCCCTGTGACCTCCTCCTCCTCACCCTCATTCCTCCCTGTGACCTCCTCCTCCTCCTCACTCCCCCCTGTGACCTCCTCCTCCTCCTCACTCCCCCCTGTGACCTCCTCCTCACCGCTCCCCCCTGTGACCTCCTCCTCACCACTCCCACCCGCCCCCCCCGCCCCGTGACCTCCTCCTCACCACTCCCCCCCTGTGACCTCCTCCTCCTCCTCCTCCTCACTCCCCCCTGTGACCTCCTCCTCCTCCCCCTCACTCCCCCCTGTGACCTCCTCCTCCTCCCCCTCACTCCCCCCTGTGACCTTCTCCTCCTCCCCCTCACTCCCCCCTGTGACCTCCTCCTCCTCCTCCTCACTCCCCCCTGTGACCTCCTCCTCCTCCTCCTCACTCCCCCCTGTGACCTCCTCCTCCTCCTCCTCACTCCCCCCTGTGACCTCCTCCTCCTCCCCCTCACCGCTCCCCACTTGGCCCGGCTGAGCAGCCAGAGCGGGGAGCTGGCCTGTAACCCATTCCGCCCGTGACAGTGCACTTTCCTGGCAATCCACGTGGCCGTGTGGGCATCAGGAGGGGCTCCAGCTAAGGAGAGGGATGGTGCCCTCCTGTCTGCGAGCCCAGTGGCCCTGGAACCGGCGGCGGGAGCGGTGCGGGGACCTGCCTCGGTGTGGCCTGGCCTGGCGCTGGGGTGGTCCGGCCTGGACGGCAGAGGCAGCCGCGGAGGCTGAGCGCTGTCTCCCCGCAGTGGCCCAGACGTCGCTGGTGGTCCAGAACGTGTCGGTGATCCTGTGTGGCATCATCCTGATGATGGTCTTCCTGCACAAGGACGAGCTGCTCACCATGTACCACGGCTGGGTCCTCGTAAGTCCTCCTCGCCCTCCGCAGCCACCTGCAGGCGGGGCCGAGCTCAGGAGGGGACAGGCGTGTCTGCTTTCCACCCGGGACCTTTTAATGCGGACCTCCGTGTCTACATTAATAGCCCTGGTTCTTGTTTTATTCAGGGTGTGTGTGTGTGTATGTGTGTGTGTGTGTTGCCCATAACAGGTACTCATTAAGAGTTGTTTGAATTTAAGTTTTCCTGTGGGGGTTTTTTCCTATTTGTTTTCAAAAGCATTTCTAAGAGTTCATAATATAATTCAGTTGTTAGTTTTCAGCCCATTGGAATTAACCTGTAATTTGTTCATACTACGTAAGAAATATTACCTATATATATGTTAATCAGTCCTGATTGTGTTCTTCCAATGAAATTGGTATTTGGGGTGTGGGGTGGGCTAGACAGCTCCTCACATGTGATTTGATGAGCTCCGGGGAGAGAGGGAGACGGGTGTGGGGGAAGGGGCGGCTGTGACGTCACCACTGAGTCCTCTCCTGTGTGCGGGCCGATGGGGTGGAGCGTCCAGCCAGGTGTGAGGCAGAGATCTTCAAGTCCACTCCTTTTTGTTAATGAAAAGCCTAAGATAGCACTTTCTCCAGAGGAGACATCTGTGGGGGAACAGTAAAACAACCCCATGCTAACCCTTTACCGTAACTGTCACATGAATATTCATGTGACTAGCACTTTTTTTATATGTGCTACGGAGGGTACGCAATGGGGAGACACTGGCCCTGGGGATCTGAGGTTTCATGTGTACAGGATGAGATGACGGGGTAGAATGGAACTCAAATCCCAGTTTGGTTGTTGCCACCAAAGACCGTGTTAAAGGCAGTCACGTGGGGGTGCAGGACCCTGACACTCAGCCCTCCCCTCTGGCTCCTCAGACTTCCTGCTACATCCTGATCATCACCATCGCCAACATCGCCAACCTGGCCAGCACGGCCACCGCCATCACCATCCAGCGGGACTGGATCGTCGTGGTCGCCGGAGAAGACAGGAGCAGGCTGGCAGGTGCGTGGATTTCTCTTCCCACAATGGCTCACAATGGGTCACTTTTAATCGTTTCTGGGTCTTTCTTTTAAAAAAAAAAATACATTTCTTTTATTCATTTCAGAGAGGAGGGGAGAGGGAGAGAGAGAGAAACATCAATGAGGAGAGAGAATCATTGATGGGCTGCATCCAGCCCGTCCCCCACTGGGGATTGAGCCCAAAACCCAGGCACATGCCCTTGGCCGGAATCGAACCCGGGACTCTTCACTCTATCGACTGAGCCAAACCAGCTAGGGCTGTTTCTGGGTATTTCTTAAGGACAAATTGAAAGGATCTTTTTTTTGCTTTTCTTTTCTTTTTTCTTACCACATTATTGGTCTCAGAGCAAAGATTTATCTCCATGCTACCAAGTTAATTTATAGGAAATGAAGAACTTTTTTATTCTGTGCAGACCTGGCAAAAGGGAGAACATTTCTTTTGAGCGGTTACTTTTTCTAAAGTTCTGTTAGTGGTTTCTAAATGTTCACTTAATACTTAGCACATTGGAGATGTCACATGGGGTTTTGTTGGCTGTGCTATGGATATGATCACCAGTACTTAGCAGTCATGCTGTGGATATTATTTTTCTCCAAACCAAACAGCAACAACTTAATTCTAGGAGAGATCCTGTAAGTTAGTTCCTTCTCCTTTAAAGTGATAACCTCTACCTTCTATTACATTATGTCCGATGGGGTGTCTTCGCTGTTACAAATACTAAGGAAACAGGAGAGCATACAGCTTTCAGGAAGCTTAGGGTCTCAGTCCTTCACTAGACAACGTGCACAGAGACCACAGGAAGGCGGGAGGATGCTTGCAAAGCTTCCTGTCCTGTTGGTCAGTCTTCCCGGGCTCAGCACTCACCCCCCCACCAGCCCTCACACACACAGACACCGGCGGGGCTGCTGACGGCACAGGTGGAGGAGGCAGGCCGCACCTGTCTGCTGTCCGATCAGCTGAATCAACACTGAGATCATGTGAATCGCAAGCAGGTTGCCCAACCGTCCGCTAGCGTTTCTAGGGCACCGACGGCAAGATTAGCTGCCTGGACCCTGAGGTTTAACAAAAAGGTAGAAAGGAGGGGGTGAGAGAAGGAGCGAGGCGCGTGGAAGGGCTGGAAGGGAAGAATTGCTGGGATCGCCCTTGGGGTGGCGGTGGTGCTGAGGTGGGACGGCGCACGCAGGTGCAGGAGCCCAGGCGAGGCCTGTGGGCAGTTCTCCCGGAGCTGATGGCCCGAATTTCTCCCGTGGCCACTGACCGAGAGGAAGTCATCCCGTCTCTCTCTGTCTCACCGAACTGTGAGATAAGTCTTCTAACATACGCGTTTAGGTACGTGAGACATGCCCGTGTTTTCAAATTCAGAGGGCGTAAAAGGACATATTTTGAAAATAATATATCTGATGGGATATATATTTGGGGGAGGGAAATTGGCTTTTAAATGATTTTTCTTTCCCTTATCTGAATTTCTTAACTCCGTTTTGACTCTGTGAAGTCCAAATCTGTAAAAAAAAAAAAAAAAAGTATTGTGTAAAGACAAAGTTAGTCAGAGTCTTTAATTTTTTTCTAAATATATAAACAAAACCAAGAAAAGAAATGATACAAAACTTTGTGGGATCTTTTTGGCTGGGCCGTGAGGAAGAATAACAGGAAATACATGACTGGCTGTTTCTCAGCCAGCTTTCTTTTATTTATTTATTTATTTGTTAAAAAAATTGAAATCAGAGAGAGAAAGGGAGAGGGAGAGAGCGATAGAAACACCTCCTGCACGCCCCGTCCTGGGGATCGAGCCCACAGCCCCGGCGCGGGCCCTGCCCTGGGATCCGCCGTGACCTCCCGTCGAGGGCAAGGTGCCGGCCTGGCCTCCCGGGGTGGGCTCAGCCTCGGTGGGTCTGTGTGGGGATGACTTCGGGGGGAAGCGGCCAGCCAGGCTGGATCTAACCTCTGGGGCTGCGGGGCTGGAGGAAGGAAGGGAGCTGCCCACGTTGGCTCTGGGTGCGGGGAGCTCACTGGCCAGCAGTCCGGCGGCGGCCGGGGGAGGGAAGCCTTCGCCCCCTCTCCTAAGGCCGCAGCAGGACTCCTGTTCCTGGAAACCGCGTTCCGAACCTCCCAGTGCTGAGGCCGGCAGGGCTCTCACCGTGGGTTTCCGGTGCTGTTCCTGCTGGAAGGCAGTGCTCAAGGACAGCAGAAAGGGGCTAAAGAGCAGCAGAAAAGGCAGATGAAGGAAGCGGAGGGAGCAGGGAGGGGTTCCCGCAGCTCTGAGCCTGTGTCTCTGCACAGAGCAGCCGCCTCCAGGCAGGAGCCATGCATGTGGTCCAAGCGGAGACTCGGGAGCCCAGAGGGCAGGTGGTGGGTGCTCTGAGCGGGTGTGAGCGGGTGGAGGGGAGGGATGTGTGTAAGGAGGACAGGTGAGCTGTGTGCTAGCTGCTCCCATTCCCTTTTCCCATTGTTTATTTCTTTTTATTGCTGACTGGATTAAATGTCCCCCCATGCTCTCCCCCTCCATCAACCCTCCTCCCCCCAGGCCTTCACCGCACTATTGTCTGTGTCTGTGGCTGTGCCTGTATGCACACAGGCTTTTTTTTCTTTTCTTTTTTTCTTAAAATATATGTTTTATTGATTTTTTTACAGAGAGAAAGGGAGAGGGATAGAGAGTTAGAAACATCAATCAGCTGCCTCCTGCACGTCCCCCACTGGGGTTGTGCCCACAACCAAGGTATGTGCCCTTGACCGGAACCTGGGACCCCTCAGTCCTCAGGTTGATGCTCTGTCCACTGAGCCACACCGGTTTTGGCTGCACACAGGCTTTGGTTCATCCTTTCCACCCGCACCCCCCATCCTCCCCTCAGATCGGCCAGTCTTGAGTTCAGAGGAGTTTTGAAGCCGGGAGTGTACACTGGGCAAAGGCAGGAGAGCGTGTCTGTGGAGGCTGAACATTTTAGAATCCTGGGCATCAGGCTACGGCAGAGCTGCTGCCGCCAGCTTAGAGGCTGCAGGAAAGGTGCCGGCTTTCACTTCCGTGCTGCCCGCTCACCTGCTCACTGGTCTGTCCAGGCGGGAGTCAGGTTGTATTGAAACAGCCCCTGTGCCCCTCAAACCCGTTTAGAACGCTCGCCCCTCTCATCAGACTTCTTGCTCCATCTGTGGCTTCCCACCCCTCCCCGCCCTCTGCTGACCTCTCTGTATTAATAGCTCCGGGGTTCTCGCCCGCCATCCTAAAGAAGCCCCTGCCTGCTGGCTTGGTCCAGTATGGCAGATAGACTTCCTGTTTGAACTCTGCGGACGAAAAACCGATTTCGTGTGCGATGTGTACAAACCCGCGGGCTGCTATTTGCTCAGCAAATGTGCCGCTGTAAGCGATTAGTCTGCGGCGTGTCACACGCCCTGCCGGACAGCCCGGGGCTGTTTGATGTCATGTTCCGTGTCACAGCTGCCGAACACGGGCAAATGGGTTTTCAATGAGCACACACTCGTCTGTTTGCACAGAGAGGACGTGTTTGCACACCGGGGTGACCGATGCTTCTCGAGCCTGGGATCAAGATGCGATTAGGTCTTTTAAAAGCTGTTATCGGACTCTTTCTGCCTCCGAAAACAAACGCTTCTGACACCAGGTTACACCGGGCGTCACCACACACGGGAGGCGGAGGCCCGGGAGCTCCTGCTGCTGGCCGCTGAGATGCGAGAGCCGCCGGCTGTGGTCACCGGCTTGTTCTGGGGCTCCCAGACCAGGGCCTGTCTTCAGGGAGCCTGGGTCCGCAGGGCTGAGTGGCTCAGAGGGACCTAGCCCTCTGTCCGCGTGGGAGTCGACGTGTGTCCGTGGGGGCAGCGGACTCACAGTTCCCCGTTACCTCACCGCGGCTCCGGCCTGAGGGGAGGCCAGGAAGGCGCGCAGGCAGCATTGTCACTGCTCTGGGGGCCACGGTGGCTGTCCCCGGCGGCTGATGGGCCGGCCTCGTTACTGTCCTCTCCTGAGACAGAGAGGGTCAGTCGGTCACTTTCTTGACTTCCCTCCTTCGCTCCTCTCGTCCTCCCCTCTGACTCAGCCTCATTGCCATGGCCATGGCCGGCCTTGTCGCCGGCACCAACTGGGCCACAGGCATCCACTCTGCCACGGCCACCCCGTTTTCCCAGCTCACTCCTCCCAGACCCGGCCCCAGCACCCTCCCGCCTGGATGCCAGGTCGGTACCCGCCAGTCCTCAGTTCCACCGCCTTTCTCCATGCTGACCCCTCTGGCTCCCCTGCTACCAGCTCCAATGGCAGGGGCACATGGCCACCGCTCACCGGCCTTTCCCCACTGTCCCTGTCCTTCGTAAGGCCCTGGGGAGTCCGCCTCTCACAGAGAACACCCAGCCTCGCTCACTGTTCCTAAAGTTCACGGCCATCGGGTGCCAGTCGGCCCTTCCACACCGTTTCCTCTGCTCCTGCTCCTCCCCTTCCTCAGGGGGATTCCGTGCCGGCTCCCTGGTCCGAACACGCTCAGGAGCTCCTCCCCGCTCCCGCTTTCACCCGCCATCGCGCTTGTATTTACGGGGAAAGTGACAGAAGGGAGAGGTGACGGCCCTGTGCTCCCAGCAGCACTCGCTCTTCCACCCGCCCCCGCTCCTGGGTGCCGCCGCCTGGGAACAGCTCTGCCCCCGGGCCGGTGCACACGCGGCTCCTTCTCTTCCGCTGTGCCATTCCCGTTAGCACAGAAACAGGCCGCCATCTTCCTCCTCTTCAGGCCCCTCCCTGTCTTGCTAGCCAGTGTGGCTCAGTGGATAGAGTGTTGGCCCATAGACTGCAGGGTCCTGGTTAGGTTCAAGGGCCAGTACCTCGGCTGCAGGCTCCATCCTGGCCTGGTCAGGGCTCGTTCCTATTGGAACCAAAGTCTCCAGAACCAGCGTTGCTTCCTTTGCCCGAAACGCGATTCTTCTGAAGAGCGATTCTGCATTCTCTTCGTCGCGCCGAAGGCCCAGCTCACCGCGGGCATTTCTTTCATCGGCGTTTGTGGGCGGAGGGCGGTGGGAATGAATGGAGATCCACAACTGCATTCATTGCGACAGCTGTGGTAGACGATTTCCCACAGTCCCAAGGGAATCATGGATTTTGAAGAACATTCATGACTTGATCCAAACCTCAAACACTTTTCTAAGGAAACGGTCATGTTCGCAGAGAGAGTGCCTGTACAGCTCTGCACGCTGGGGGCCTGCACGCGGCTCCGGGTGGTGCCGGGGGACGCGGCCTCCGCGGCGCAGACTCACCGGCTCTCGCCCACCCCGCAGACATGAACGCCACGGTCCGCAGGATCGACCAGCTCACCAACATCCTGGCGCCCATGGCCGTCGGGCAGATCATGACCTTCGGCTCCGCGGTCATCGGCTGCGGCTTCATCTCCGGGTGGAACCTGGTGTCCATGTGCGTGGAGTACTTCCTGCTCTGGAAGGTTTACCAGAAGACCCCCGCGCTGGCCGTGAAGGCCACCCTCAAGGCGGAGGAGGCCGAGCTGAAGCAGCTGAACGTGCACAAAGGTACCCCAGCGCGGCGGCCAGCCCTTTACTCGGATCCCCAGGCCGTCCGTGGCGGGGAGGCAGACTGGCTTTCATTTACAGCAGATGTCCTCACCCCCGGGGGCTGCGTGAGGCCACCCGTGTCCCTCCGGTGGGCGGGTCACAGCCCAGGCTTCTGAGCGAGAGGAAGGCTCTCTGGGCGGACCTGGCCCTTTTCCTTTCTGGGAGCAGTGGACACGGAGGAGCAGCCAGCTCAGAGGGCTGAGCACAGCAGAGCCTGGAGGGGGAGAAAGACGGGAGAACAGGATTCCTAGGCGTCCGTGTGGGACAGTGGGAAGAGTGAGGCCTGAAGGGGGTGTTCCCCGAGCGGAGGAAGGGGGCTCCGGACCACGGAGCCCGAGCAGGCCCCCCAAACCCGACGCTTTGTCCGCCCAGACAGCCCCCGTGCTGTCTGATGTGGCCTGAGAGGCCGTGTCCTCAGAACCACGGTCTCTAGGACCGAACGCGTCTTCTTTCCCCCAAACTGAGTTCTGAAGAGGCCGTCCCCCGTCCCCTTATCCGTCCTCCGTCCCCTTATCCGTCCTCCGTCCCCTTATCCGTCCTCCGTCCCCAAGGCCCTGCTCAGCACGGGCGTCTCATCCCCGCCTGTGTCTCCGCGCTTCACTTCGGAGGGAGGCGCATTTCAAAGGGCCGGTGCGATCGGGACCACAGCATGGCCTGTGCCTCTGGGAGCCGGTTCCCGGGCCTGGTGCTCCGACGAGAAGAGGACATGCCTGTTGTGCTGTCGTAGCCAAGGTCCCCAAGGGGAGGGAAAGAGGAGGAGGGAAGACTGAGTGTAATAACTGCCCCCGCCCGGCCCCGCCTCTCCCTCAGTGCGTGCTGTGTTCTGTCCGCAGAAGCTGAGCCCAAGCCCCCGGAGTCCGCGCACCTGATGGGGGACAGGGAGCTGGCGGTGCCCGCGCCGGAGCCGGAGCCCGAGCCGGGCTGCGCCGAGCAGCTGGCCGAGCCCTTGCGCACGTTCCGCGACGGCTGGGTGTCCTACGCGCGGCAGCCCGTGTTCCTGGCCGGCCTGGGGCTGGCCTTCCTCTACATGACGGTGCTGGGCTTCGACTGCATCACCACGGGCTACGCCTACACGCAGGGCCTGAGCGGCTCGGTGCTCAGCCTGCTGATGGGCGCCTCGGCCGTCACCGGCATCCTGGGCACCGTGGCCTTCACCGGGCTGCGGCGCCGCTGCGGCCTGGTGCGCACCGGCCTCATCTCGGGCGCCGCGCAGCTCTCCTGCCTGGTGCTGTGCGTGGTGTCCGTGTTCATGCCGGGCAGTCCGCTGGACCTCAGCGTGTCCCCCTTCCAGGACATCCGCTCCCGCTTCATCCAGGCCGAGCCACTGCCCGCCGCGCCCACCACGGCCAGGCCCGCGGCCAACGGCTCCGTGACCACCCTGGCCGCCCCCGCGCTGGAGCCGGGGCTGAGCGCCGAGTCCGTCCTCTCCGTCAGCCTGCTGTTCGCGGGCGTCATTGCTGCTAGGGTCGGTGAGTCTGCGGGGGGCAGAGGGGTGTGTGTTGACGGGGGGAGGGGGGGGGGAGCCCAAGTGCCTGGCTCAGGGCTGAGCATCGCCCTGTGAACCCCGAGGTCTCGGTTCCATCCCCGTCAGGGCACAGGCCCGGCTGTGGGCTAGATCCCCAGTAGGGGCGTGCAGGAGGCAGCCGGTCCATGATTCTCATCGTGGCTGTTTCTCTCTCTCTCCCTCTCCCTGCTTCTCTGAAACCACTAAAACGGTATCTGAGAATAAAATAAAGTGCCTGCAATATGGTTCAGAGAATCACCAATCTTCCCTGAGTGTTGATGTGAGCAGGATTCACTGTTCACCCTTATGTATAATACAGTCTTTCATGATGACTTTTTATAGGTTAAGAAAGTATATTTGTGTTTTTATAAAACATGATTAGAGCTTGAAATTTTTTTATTTTCCTAAATGGATATTTTAGGTATTGCTGCTTTGCTGTTACTAATTAACTCCTGAAAAGAGATTAGCTAATGATATTGTCTGTTAGTAATTAGTGTCTCTGTGTGGCTATAACTCTCCCCACAGGGCTGTAATTTGGAGAATGTTCCTATGGTACAAGGCAAAAAGATAAGTAGCTAAGTTGGTGGGGGTTTTGGTTTAAACTTTGAAAAAAGTCGTGGCGGTTAGGGAAAAGATCGTCCAAAGCTTCCTCTAGCTGGCGTGTGTTCTATACTTTGCCAAGCAAATGGGTTTACAGCTCTGGAAGGCAACCTAGGGTACAGACTTCTTACAGAGCAAAACGTAAGTAATCATTAATAGAGTGCCGATGGGTTATTCTGGAAATGAACCGTATTTTTATCTTCTGGTACCAAGCAGTTTATTAATTTATCAGAGACATTAATATTCCAAGTGAGACAGCTTTATTGCAACCCAAGCAGTAAAGGCAATAATGGCTTAACGTTTCCTCACACTGTAGTCGTGACAAAATGTAGGTCAGTTCATTTAAACTGAAAAATACCAGCACCATCACGCTCTGCTCGCTGAGGCGGAAACGTGCTGGGGAGCGTGTCCGGAGGCGGTGTGGTTGTGTGAGCACCAAGGAGCGCCTTCCCCAAGCCTCGTGGCACAGCCTGCTACCCACCAGGCTGCACGGCACAGCCTGTGAGCCGCAGCCTGCACACCTGCACAGCCCGGTGCTGTGCCAGGCGCCAGATTAAGTCCAGCACCAGAGACAGGGACGCAACCAAGAGACATGGTAACTTGAGACGTGCCGACACCTTGTCTCACAGCAAACTTTTATTTTTTACCTTTTTTATTGATGTCAGAGAGGAAGAGGGAGAAAGAGAGAGAGACATCAATGATGAGAGAGAATAATGGATTGGCTGCCTCCTGCACATACCCCCTATCCCCCCACCCCGCTGGGGATCCAGGAGGGAATACAATCCTGCGTCATAGATTGAGCGACCACTCAAACCACTGACCCACATCATCCGGGCAAACTTTTTTTCTTAATAAGTAGAAAGAGAACATTTTAAAATAAGGAGAAAAGATCGGTATAGTAAAAACATAAACCAATGACATAGTCCTGTATTGTCATTATCAAGTAGTATTATTATGTGCTGTGCTAACTGAGCAGGCTATATTTTCTACATCCCTCAGTGTTTACCCCAGCATCATCCGAGCGCGTAACATGTCTCGCCACGGTGTCGCCATGGCTGTGATGTCACCAGGCAATAGGAATTGTTTTTTAGCTCTAGTAGAATCTTGCGGTTTGTCATTGACCATAACATCATGGTTCGGCACATGACTGCACTTAGGGTGGGATTAGGTGTGAGATTCAGAACTTTGCTTTCATAGCATGAACAATCACAGAGGAACAGAATTAAGAGGTTTGCAGAGACGACTCATTTTTTGTCTAAATATCATTTCTTAGATATTTTACCGCTGGTAACCCAGTACTATTGCTCAATGAAAATAGTTCTCTGAGGCAGGGCCACGATCAGCGTGCGCATGCCGGCTTTCAAGTCATGGGCTGACCATGTGATTTTCTCACCTGAGAACAGATTTTCAACCTATAAATCTGAAATCCAGGGCTATAAATTCTAGGGATTGACCGTCTCTCAAACAACATTCTTCATTCCAGGCCTTTGGTCCTTTGATTTAACTGTGACGCAGTTGCTGCAGGAAAACGTCGTTGAGTCGGAACGAGGCATTATAAACGGTGTGCAGAACTCCATGAACTACCTTCTCGACCTCCTGCACTTCATCATGGTGATCCTGGCCCCCAACCCCGAGGCCTTCGGCCTGCTGGTGCTCATCTCCGTGTCCTTCGTGGCCATGGGCCACATCATGTATTTCCGGTTCGCCCAGAAGACCCTGGGCAGCCAGCTCTTCGCCTGCGGGCCCGTGGAGAAGGAAGCTCCGGACGAAAGCCAAGCTTCCACGTCCGTGGTGTGAGCCGGGCCCCGGCTGGTCCCTGTTACTAGCCCCATAGGGCGCGCTTGTTCTGTGCTTCACGATGCCCCTCCGTGGCCCGCGTCTCTCTCTGGTTTCCCCGCAACCGTGTCTCCCAGGCTAAGAGCTGCTTAGGGAACCTCCGTCATCTGGTTCGCTTCCCGTCCATTTGAGGACGGGAAGAAATAGGACAAGGAAAAAGTCTAAGTATGGAGGCTAACCTGGCACACGCACTGATTTCCCCCTTTCTCCCGAGTAGAGAACATTTTCCGTAAGAGAGTGGCGAGCCAGGCGAATTAGGTTAATTTTGGCAGATATTTATTCTCTCCAGTAGAACCCAGATGTCAGTTTGCCCCCAGACGCAGCTTGTTCGGGTCCGGCTGCTTTCCTTTCCTTTGTATTCTATTCCGAAAGCCTCATAACCAGTGTTACCCTCATGGGTCCCGTGAGTCTTGAGGAGCTTATAGAAATGTGGAAAACAAGGTATTTCAGGGGAATTCTCGAAGAGGGTCACGGTGGAACTTGAGAGAGCACCTCGGAATCGCTATTAACAGGGAGGGCTGCATAGACCGCATTAACCTCCGCATCACTCTGCGAGACACTGACCGCGAAAGGTGGAGCAACGCTGTGCAGTAGACCCGTAACACCGAACGCGTAACGACTGCCACGCGCCCACCTCTGCCACGCAACGCGAAGCTTGAAAGTCACCCGCAGGGCCAAGATCCGGAGTAACTCCCGCCACCCTCTGTCCTCTCTCCGCCCCGGGGGAGGCTGCCGGCTGCCCGCGGGGGAGGGAGGGAGCAGGCCTGAGGGGAAGGGTTTTGTGTTGTCGATCGTGTGACTTGTCAGGAGCAAGGGGGGAAGAGCATGTCCCCCTTCATTGATTGTGCCCAGGAGCTGTTTGTACCCAGGCGAAGAGCAAGACTGTCCCTACATGAATTCCTTTCACGTGTCTCTGAGAAGCATGGGGGGTGGGGGGCGGGGAAAGACGTTTGTATATATTTTTTAAAACTGTCCGGCGAGCCCTCTTGCAGCCTGCCGGCGCCCGCAGGCTCTCTGCCTTAACGTTCATGCACTTTCATGGGGACGGCCGCCGTCGCTCGGAGCACTTTCCTGATCCTTGAGGTCGAGTCTCTCTCTTCTCCTTTCCAGGGTATGTCATGATTTGCTACGTTGTAAAATCTTTGTAAAATATTTCTATATAAAACTATTTTTAAAATCTTCGTGGCTCCGGCCTCAGCTGTGTCCTTTAATTTTTTTAAAACACCGTGTTTGTCACCGGTGCTCGGTGCTGATGCTGTGTTTTGGTCTCTGAGAAGGGCACAGCCTCCCAGTGAGTCCTCACGGCTGCGGGCTCTGCTGTGGCTCGGGCAGAACGAGGGAGCGTGAGGCCCGCCCTCCCGCCTGGCCCTGGAGGAGCCCCGGGAGCTTTCCGAGTTCCCTGCTCTCTCCCATGACCTGGGGACGGCAGCTCTGCCCGCCTCCCGCTGTCCGGTGGAGGCAGATCCTGCAGAAGCACTTTGGGGACTGGGAGACAGGGTAGTCTTATTGCTAAAAGTGGAGCCTACCTCATGCCAGTTAAAGTGGGATTCTGCCCGGCCGGCGTGGCTCCGTGGTTGAGCATGGACCTATGAACCAGGAGGTCACGGTTCCATTCTCGGCCAGGGCACAGGCCTGGGTTTCGGGCTCCTTCCTCAGTAGGGGGCGTGCAGGAGGCAGCCGATCCATGATTCTCTGTCCTCATGGATGTTTCTTTCTCCCTTCCTCTCTAAAATCAATAAAAATATATTTTGAAAAATAGATTCCTGCTGATCATCCTGAGAACAGAGCCACAGTCCATAGTCAACGCACGCTTGCTGATCGGTGCCCCCGCCTGCGGGTTTGGGTGCAGCTGTGACTCACACAGGGTCAGAGGCGCCTTTTCTTCCCCCCGAATCGGGAGCCTGGGAACCTGTGGCCTCACCCGCAGCGACTGATCTGCTGTGACTGCTGGGCTGCTGCTGCCTGGAGCCGCCTCTGGCTCCCGGGGCAGAGCGGGGCTGGAGGGCCGCCCTGAGTGTCGGCAGCTGTGGCTGAGGGCCCGCGGCCCTGTGAGATGAATAGGAACAGGGCAGCCAGGGAAGGCAGGGCTCCTGGGCGGCCGTGCCAGGCTGTGGGCTAGGGCGGAGGGCTGTGCAGGGGAAGGAGCGGATGCTGCCCCTCTCTGGGCCCGGCGCGCTCCGGGCAGGAGGAGGAGGGGCGGGGAAGGGGAGCTGCTGGGCAGGGCTTTGGCTGCGGACCCCCGAGGGCACAGAGGAGGGCCGGCCGGTAGGTGATGAGGTGGGCATCTCCCTGTGTGTTTCTAACGGGAGGACGAACTCAAACGCTTGCAGGGCCCATCAGCTAATCCAGACGAGCGAGTCGGTCGGACGCAGGGAAACAGTTTCCGCTCACACGTCCGTGCGTCTCACAAACATCACGTTGAAGTGCTTCCACTTAAAAGCAAACTCCTCACCTTTTAAAACATATTTTTACTGATGTCAGAGGGGAAGGGAGAAAGAGGAAGCATCCATGATGAGAGAGAATCATGGGTCGGCCGCCTCCCGCACGCCCCTCGCTGGGGATCCAGCTCACAGCCCGGGCCTGTGCCCTGACCGGGAATGAAGCCATGACCTCCTGGTTCACAGATCCGGGTTCAACCACTGAGCCATGCTGGCTGGGCCCTCACTTTTTCTATTCCATGCTGACTTCTTACTGTGGTTATTCAAATATTTCCACATGGACAGCCTTTGTTTGCCTGCAAACACAGGAACGCCTATGGTCACTCCCAGGAGGAGTAGGCATTAACCTTCAACCCCCCCCCCCCCCCCCAACGTTTGTCTCCCTTGATATTCCTTTTGTTACTGAGAAAGGGAAGATAAGGGTGTAAGTAAGAAATTACTTTCCTACTCACCCTAAAGCAAGGCCTGAGGGGCTGCTGGGGGAGGCAGAGTGTGGGCGGAGCTATGGTGAGCAGGAGGGCAGGACCAGGCTCAGAGGCCGCCCTCAGCAACCCCACTGCCATGCAGGAATGTGGGCCCTGGGGCGGCAGATCTTCTGATCTTTCAGGAGAGTGACTGAACACAGACCCATGAGCCGGGAGGTCCTGTCAAGGTTCAATCCCCTCAGGGCACCTACCCGGGTTGCTGACTTGATCCCCAGTGTCGGGCGTGCAGGAGGCAGCCGATCCATGATTCTCTCTTTCCGCTGACGTTTCCATCTCTCTCTCCCTTCCTCTCTAAAACCAATTTAAAAAACAATATTAAAACAAAACAAAACAAAAAAAAAACAAGAGAAGCTTGAGTTTGGTGTTAAATCTCAAACATTTAAATGGCAACTAATTCGAAAATACTTTTCCAGTCAAATGAAAATACATCAGTGGACTGACTGCCTGTGAGTCACTCGTGGGCTGCCTTTTTTTGAGCTTTTCTCTAAGAGGTTGGTTTGTGAACAAGAGAATGGTATTTGAATAAAGTGTGGGAAGAGAGAAGCTATATATACAAACATGGTGGAGTAGAACAAGAAAAAACTGGGCAGGCACATGTTTATAGCAAAAATGTTAAACTATTAGGCACTTAAAAAAATCTGTGGCATATCGATGTCAGTGAGAATTCTGCCCCACACCGGCTCCTTGTTCTGTGTTGCTTGCACTGCTGGGTTAAAGGATAGTGATTATTTATTAAAAACAAAAAACAAAAAACGGTTAATGATTCTTTAATTTAAAAAAAACGCCAATGTTGAAAGCTCGTCTGAATTATAGAGTGCTCCTGTTTTAACAAAGAAAGCACAGAATTTTCAACGTCCAGATCCCCTCTTCCGCCTCCCGGAATTCTCAGAAGCACTCACCGTGAACCATTGAATATATCTTTATGGACAACCCCTCCTAAATGAAGTTATAAGAAATAACTTTAGTCTCATTTGGTTTGTTTACCAAGATTAGATTGATACATATCTATATCAATTGACTAACCAATCTCTATTTCCCCCCCGGCCCAGAATTCTGAGGGTTAAAGTCATGTTTGCATTTAGACTCTTGTTATAGAAATTAAAATAAAAAGATATATAGAACAGAATAATTTAAAACTCTGAAAACATAGAAGAAGGTAGTCACATGACCTAGTCTGATGTGTTTATTTTGACGGAGAAATAAATTTAGTCTGAGATTCCTTTCAAACCAACACTCAAGACCATTGAGTTTTACCTTTCCCCTCCCAAATGACACTTACTTAAAACCCTTTTCCAGTTAAATATTGCTTCTTTTCTAATAGTGTCTCTTTTGATCTGCCTTTCAGAGAAGTCTTTGCTATCTGAACATTTTTTGTTTTGTTTTGTTCTGTTCTACAAAACAGCAACTCAAAGAAGAGAGTCCAAACGTTAGGAGCAGCTTGTGAGGTTTGTCACGAACCAGCCGGCCCAGGCGGCATGGGGCCATCCCTGGGAAGCTGAGTGCCTTTTGCCTTATATGGAGAGGTGTTTACATTTTCCAAGTCCAGAAGGGAGCAAATGTTTTATCTGAAGAGCCCGAGGAGAAGAGTTCAAAGTACAAGTAAGTGCTCCCCTCTCTGGTCTCCCCCGGCCTCCGGCCTCCGGGGAGGGGGGCATTTCTGAGGGAAGGCTTTCCTGGTTGCAGTGGGCGGGAGGGAAGAGCCTGGAAGGTTCCTGAGCTGCTCATGCTCAGACCCGCCCAGAGAGCGGCTGTCCTGACCGTGAGGAGCGCACAGACACTAATGGAATGAAACGCCTGAAGGCGGAGGCGGAGAACTGAGTTGTATAGTAACCGCAACACCTGGGGAGAAGCAGAGCTCATTTTCAAAGCTCTTACCGTGAATGGTTCCTATGAGTAGGTCTTAGTCACATGGTGCATTATACCAAAGTGACCCTTGAACTTGGTGTATGTACATTCGAAAAAGAATGGTGGTTCCATGATAGATTTATGTAATTTTTACTTCGTGTAATGTATGGACCAAATAGATACAGATAATCTC